AATTATGTAGTAAAATTTTATGTTAGGGTCCGTTTGATTGCAAATGTGAAAAATGGGTGGAAAGAAAATGTTTTACGGGGAATTGATTTGCCTAGAAATTGTTTTATTGGAAATTGTAATTAATTGTGTGTGATTGGTATAATTTTTCATGAAAAATGTTGAAAGTTTGGTGTCCGTTTGGCTTATTTTTTATGAAAATTGTTCATTAAAATGATAATTTTTTCTACCATTTGATCTAAAATTTATTCCAATTGTAACAAAAAAAAAAAAAAAGCAAAGCTGGAAAATCAAAATCCACGAAAACTGAAGGAAAATAATTTCATTGATTTGAAGGAAAATTGGCGCGCAGAGTGGTGGCTGACAAAATGATTTTCAAGGCCAATTTTGGCCATCAAATAGCTACTTTGTGGGAATGGTGAAAATATTTTCCATTTTCCTTGAAAAATGCTGCTTCTCAAACATAGCCTTAGAGTTTGCAAGTAGTGGTTTACATTTTCAATAATTGTTAATAATTTCAAAAAATATTGTTTATTTATATAATTAAGAATTGTTTATATTACTTCATCCATTATTGTTGGTTTAATTAAAAAAAAAAACTAATCCCCACCATTATTTGCTTCGTTTGTTATCTGCCACAATCATTTACTTTAATCATAGAATACATTCATAAAGAGAGGTTTCCTGCACTGCATTCGAGTAGTTGGTTTCATAAAGATATTTTCTCGATCAATTTCTAAAGACAAAAATCAAAATGAACATGTAGTTGGTTCTAGAATGTTTGGTGGAGGGAGGTGGGGGCCAGTGGGGTCCCTTATTCCACCGACACTTCGAAAGAAATAAACTACATTATTATCTCATTAAAATGAAAAATATAACCGTTATCCATTACATCAACATTTAAATTCAAATTTTATCTCTTATGTGGGCCCCAATAACGACTATATTTTTCATTTTCATTCCACAATAATTTGGCTCAAACAGGGCCATATGACTTTTTAATTTTAATTTTTAATATTATTATATCTTTTGCTTGAATTTTTTTGATAATTAAATTAGACCTCACAAAATTCAAATCATAATTTTGCCAATGACTATAATCAATTAAAGTAGAACTATTAACAAAAAATAACTCGAGACAATATCGCATGTTGTTTTAGCGAACGCCCATACATATAAGATCTTTAAGCAAAGTATAAAAGAAAGTAAAAATAGAAAAAAAATTAAGTTATTAGTAGATTTAATAATAAAAAAAAATAACACGTGATTGAAAATTTGATATAAATTGTGGATTCCATGAAATGTATGATTGAAAATGAATTTAAAAAAAAAATTAAGAAACGACGGTAGAATACATCAGAAGATGGCTTTTTAGTGTTATTCGTATGATAATATTCCAAAAAATTAGCTTTTATTGACTTTTAAGCAAGATCAAACACGTTATTGGGACATATTTACTAAACTAAAATCTACTTTTAAATATTTCCTTATAATATCTTCAGAAAAAATATGAGGCTCTGTTTGATTGCACTTCAATTTCATGAAAGATAGAAATTAAATTTCATTTTCCACATTTTTGCGTGTTTGATTGCCCAAATTTTCCATTGAATTGATTTTCCATCTTTCACCCACATGCCCACATTTTCTTGATTTTTTAGGAAAGACATTTTCTAAGCAACTTTTTTATTTATTTTTTTTGGTAATGGAAACAAATCATATCCTCAATTATAACAAATTATATCCTCTTAATAGATAATTTTCATGGAAATTAAACAAAACCAAACGAATACCAAAAGATCCAAAATTTCAATATTTTTCAGGTAGAAAATTATACCAATCAAACACAATTAATTACAATTCCCAGTAAAACATTTTCTAAAAAAATCTTTTCCCTGTAAAACATTTTCTTTCCACCCATTTTCCACCCTTGCAAT